ATTGCTATTAGGTGGGAGGCCATTGCTATTAGGTGGGAGGCCATTGCCATTAGGTTGGAGGCCATCGCTATTGGGTCGGAGGCGAGCGCTAGTAGGTTGGAGGCCATCGGAACGGTCAAACTTGAGACGGCTTTGGAATGCGCCTCTGTCTGTTTCTAATTGTCCTTGGGTGGCTACACTCCCTGAAGTGATCGAAGTGGATGCCATGACCCCGAGTTCGACCATGAAATCTGAATGCCAAAGAGGTAGTGAACTCCACCGCGGGTTACTGTCTTTTATATGAATTCAGGGACGTGTATTGTTTGGTCCGCGGAACCTGGCGCCGGTGCTTGCTGTCCAAATCACGCCGCCACCATCCCAAGGATGGATTTCGGGGTTACCCCTGCCACTTGTGCCGGACTCGTGCCCCACGTTCCAAAAGATGAACCATAATGGGTCAAATTTCTGGAGTTTTGGAGGGACCAACTGTTCGACCAGGTGAACTGGTTGTCCTCGCATGTGGTTGGTGTGATCACTTCAGATTCCAAAAAAATATTGCATCAAACATTGCTGAGACTCAACATCATTTCGGATGCCTCGGCGTGTTCAACTGGATGACATTCCGACTCGTTGGTTCTTCTGTTACAATCAACCAAGAACGTGAACACACGTGGATGTATTGAGATAGGACCCGAAAAGGACGCGTTCTTTTTTGGCACCCTGCAGGTCATAGGTTCCTTGGTTTCAACTTGGCATTGAGTTGACAAAAATTTGGACTGTTACAGGTGGTCCACAACCCACTCCCGGGGTGAAATTCTTCGATGTCTGCACAGGCTCTCAAGTGGCCTTGTCGGGTGCCTCCATGCCCCTCGAAAGCACTGTCAGGTTGGCGAAGACTCCACACATCCGATTTTTTCCCGTATACCAGCATGGCCTCCCTAATAGCAATGGCCTCCAACCTAGAAGCAATGACCAATTAGCCGGACATCTTAGGACAAGTTCTGGGAGTCCGTCTCTACCCAGAGTCCATTTCTGTTTTTACTGGGAAAAAAGCATATATTCTGGGTGGTTGGTGACTCCCAAATAGAGGTCATTCAGGTTCTAACTATCGCTGAGGATTGGCCGAAACAGTTGCCGCGGGAACTGTTAGTTCGCGTGGCGATGCGGGAGACGCGGGGCATCGCTACACGGAGCGAAGCAACGTTCCAAAGGCTTCCAGGTTGTGATATTCATCGGCGTTCTTGGATTCAAGAGCATTCGAGGTGAGAGAATATGAGATGGTGTACCATAAATGAAAAACAGATCTGGAAGGGGCTGTGGGATGTAAAGAACTATTAGCGGCTGATGGGAGCTTGCTATGGTGATGTCGCAAACAAAGGCTTACGCCTAACTCTCCTTGCTTCGCAAGATGCTTCCCCTACTCGTCCCCACAAAAGGATACAAAAGGAGTATGTTTTTAGTTCTGGATTCTGGATCCATCTTCCATTGTTCAACACTTACAAGCGATTTGCTCTCCTTTGCTGTCTGAAGGGCACTGTCAATAACGGTCATTCATTTTGGGACTCTCAGATGCAGTGCTTCTCCGTCCGCGTGGCTTCTCCGTTTTCCCCCGTCCCAGGCCTTCACCAAGGTCGCCAGAAGCGGTGACCGAGGAAGAGCACCTGCGAAGGCGGTGACCGGTCTCAGCCGTCGCGACCGGATTTGTCCACCATGAACTGGATGACGAACAAGAGACATCGCCTGAAAAGGCGATCTCTGTCTCCATTTTTGTCTTTTCTGTCGTCAAAGAGACTTCTCTCCATCTTCTCTCCATCGTCTTCTTCGAGAGAGAAACAGCGACTGTTCTCCTCGCCCCCCCCCCCGGGGCGGCTCCGACGCAACGGTGGCGGTGCGGAGGATCTTCGGCCCGAGGGGCCTGCCTCCGACGCCGCGGCCGCAGCGAGGAGTAGTCGGGGGTCCCAGTCACCGTCGATCGATCGAGGGTGTTAGGGCTGGGATCCACGTGTTCGGAGAGGTTGGAGAACAAAGACACTCAAAGACACCTTGAAAAACTGCTAGTTAGTCAGTCTTATACAATGTGTTTCTGACATGTAGGATGCTCCATGTTTGAACCGCCAATTCTCACGTGCCCTTGTTTCGCCCGAAAAGCATCGGATGTACCCTTCGATGTTTGGGATCGCGAAAAAGAGATGTGAAGCGAAGCGGTCCCTTTCTGCGAACACTGGTTGAAAACTTATCAGCTTTTCATCTGAAACTTTTACATCTTCGAACCGACTGAAGCTGGAGAACTCGAGGGAGCGGTGCGAAGGGCCCGAGAACTGGGCGGATGACACTCCAAGGTACGAGCAAGAACGCTACGATCGGGGCTCCTGGCCTTACTACTAGGAGCAAGAACGCTACTAGGAACAGAGGACACGTTTGAAAAAACGACGTCAGGCAGCGCGAGAACTGGGGTTTTACAGTCTACGCAGAATCGACAGTGACACGCAGTTTGTCTTCATGGCTTAAGGTCACTGGTGTCTTAATTGTCACACTTTGCATTGCACCCGTTCAGTGTGGCCGAAAACTGAAAACAAGACGAAGGGGTGCTGGCATTTTGAAGATTTGTCCAGCGAAGGCAAAACACACCTATCTATTCAACTTGGCGGCTTTGGGCCTTCAGCCCTAGCTTGGCAGTACCTCCAGCCTTCCAATATAGGCATCTAGATCAAAAAAAGACAAAAAGAGCATCAACAAAAAAATAACAAGAGGATCAACAAAAAATATTCCTGGATAGGCCTCTTCTGCTGCTCTCCTGGCCCTGTGGTCTGCAGGTCCTCTGGTCTTCTGGTCCTTTAGTCCTCTGGTCCACAGGCCCTTTGGCCCCCTGGTCCTTTGGTCCTGGTCCGGTCCCGTGGTCTCCTGGTCCTTTGCCCTCCTGGTTCTCTGGTCTGCGGGTTTCCTATGGTTTTCTCCGTGTTCTTTCACTGATGCTTTTTGATGCCTTTGGTCCTTTCTCTTGTAGCTTATTGGCCGCAGTTTTCCTGCAAACGTACGATGCTTTTGGCTTCGGTTGCCATAGGTCCTTTTGTGCATTTTAGATGCCCTTCACTGAAAGGACGATAGGGTACATAGTTTCTAGGGATTTCTTTTGTGGTGCTCTGTTTTAACATTTGGTTCGCTTTGGGGGGAGGCGCTGCGCCCTCCCCCCCCACCCCCCCTCCAGCACCACGAAATCTGCACTCTTGCACTCCGCCTGCCACAAAAACTAACTATTTAAAGGGTCGCCCATCGCACTTTGCAGATCACATATTGCATGTCGTCTAAGTCTCTTTGATAACTTGTGAACATATCCTTTCATTGTTTGCTCCTGTTGATCTTGAAGCAGGTGTGAAGCGCTTCCTTTTGTCAACGTAGATCGCTTCCACGCAGGGCACTTGCGGAGCCAAACCGAGCCATCTAACTTTTGAATGCTTTCAATTCAGTGTCTTTGCTGCTTGTTCCTGATTGGCCATCTGTTTGGGGGGTGCTGGAGACTTGCGCATGCCATTGTTTGGCACATTTTTTGGAGTGTTGGCGTGTTGGTCCTTGTCTTTGGTCCTTTGAGGTGGCTGCTGCTGTCTCTCCATTCTTCTATGCTCTAAACACTGTGGCAATGCCACACAGGTGGATGATAGGGCCGACCTTAGCTTCCAACACCTCTGCGCAGTGAATGCTATAACAAGGCTGCAAGTAGCCTGGTCCGATGTGTTTCTGTTGAAGGCTTTTGAGCCGATGCTCAACCCCAACCATCCTCAGTGGGCTGGAATATTTCTTTTGATTCCCTTACATTTTTTTTTATTTTGATCCCCGTTGAATATTTTTTTGATTCTATTTTTATTTTTTGATCCCTTACCCTCCAATATATACCTGGATCTTCAAACGGTACTAAATGTTTGCCGGATACATTTTTCAGTGAAAAGACGCCATATCAACATGAAGTACAGTTTTAGGGGTTGCAAACATGTGCTCAAAATCCATGGACGGGGAAAGACACCGTTTGGACACCTTTGGAAGTCTAAAAACGCTGTTTCTTTTGGTTTCTACCGTTTTCCGCCTGGTCACAACAAAAACGCCGGCTTTGGGAACAAGACGCCGTAATGGCATTTTTTCATGAAAAAGGACGATGATTTATGCTCTTTCGAAGATCCAGGCATATATCGCTCAGTGTGTGAAGTGTTGGTCCTCGGCGTTGGATAGCAAGACTCACATTGAACAACATGTTCAAGACGACTATCAGGGTTCTTCCAGGACAAAGCAGTTCTTGAATGCATCGTCTTTCGCGGCCGGATGCTGACGGCGAAGACTTCGCTTGTCTAAGGCTGGATCTTCGGCTCTGTCTGGCAGGCGGGGGGTGCCGAACGGAGGGCGGCTGAGGTGGCGGTTTGTGGCGGGTTCAGGCGGCCGAGACCTGTAAGCGACCTAGACCCGAGCGCTGTAGGGTGCGATTTGCACGATGCTGAGAGGTTTGGGATGCACTCCAACTTTGGAACAGGAGTCCAGACCTCTCAAAAGACCCATGAATGTGTTGCTGGGGCCGGCAGGTTGCTTGCTGGGGCCCGGTGAGACGCCCTTTGGTGACGGTGAGACCATGTGAGACCTAAGCCGTTGGAAGGGGTACCCGCTCGCACCATTTCGCAAAGAAAAACGGTGAACAAAACATCACTTTTTACCGTTCTTACCGCCTCACGGGAACCCCGTAGCCCGAGCAACACCGCTTAACCAGCACAGGGCCCTCTTGACCACGAGCACCCCGCCTGGAGGCACGTGGATGAGTGATAAGCTTGGCGAGTTGAGCTTTGGCTGGTGAGGTGTATGCACATCTTTGTTTTTGCCGCTTGGCTCGTGGTGAGTTGTTCTTTTCCGCGTCCCAAGGCAACGGGCTCCTGTCAGACTGTCGACTGATTGGGCACAAGGCCACAAGCCAAAAGTGCCATGGCGCAAAGAAATAACCGAATCAGGTTTTGGAAGCCAGGACCCATGGATGAGCTGGGCATGTGTTGATCAGGTGTTTGTGTGACGAAAGGAGTGCAGATATGTGCAGAGATGTTCTTTTTGCAATTCCAATTACTAGCAATGAATCATCTACTGGCATGAACACCTGCATTCACCACCCCATGACCTTGAAAGACACGAGACAAGGCCGAAAAAATTCACATGAACTGGCGTTCTTGCGTTCATCCAAGACAGGAGGGCTGGC